AATTTTGACAAAGTGTATTACATGTTGTCCTTTGATGCAGTCATGGAAATTTTAGGCTGTGTGAAATATGACCTTCACCACCAAAATTCACTAGACTCAAGTGCATTGATATATTCCTACTCTGATCTTTTATTGAGTTAACAAATAGATTTAAACCACTAATCTGATAATAAGAATTAGATATGCATTATGACAATCTTCAATTGTATAGAAACAAAAAAATCTGTTCCTACACTACTATTTAGTGTTGTATTATTGCGGTGGCATAGCATTTTTCTCAAATGCAATCTTGTTTAAAGAATTTTATTAGGCAAACTACCTTTAATCACACTATCGAAAATGTTTCTATATAAACAAAGAAGGCCCGAAGCGTGCATTATTCTACAACAATGCACTCGCCATTCTTATTATCTCCCTGTGTATTTTCACATTGAGGGCGCCATTTTGTTTGAAAAATGTGATAAATATAAACAATTTTTTGTCGAATTTAGTTGTGAAAACTATCTAGAATGGAAGAAAATGGTCTAACTAAGAAAATGAATTCGAACACCAATATCTTTTATTCAGTCGTTAACGCTGTACAGACGTTTAAAGTATTGTTTACGTGACATCACAATGTAGCGCCAAACAGCATGTGCAAAACAATCAAATCAAGTACGCTATTTTAAAGCAGCATGCCTTCAGATTTATGCTTATTTTCATGAAAATTTTGAAATTTAACCACTAAACATAAAGCTTATTTTCATAAAAAATTTGAAATTTAACCACCAAACATAAAGTCCAACATTATAACAATAATTATATTTTTACTTGAAAAGTAGTTCGGCAAAGAGGTGCCCATTCATGCATACCACGTGATCAAGTGCCGTAGATCAGTAAAACTATATGGCACCTTGTTATCGGGCCGAAATTGATACAAGTGACAGGATAAAACAGTTAAAGCAGCACACATCCAGAATATAACAAATATCTACCAGTTGTCCATGTAATGACATGCACTCTTATTCATGACATCATCAAATAATGATGTGAGATGTTCTTGTTGTATTAAAGTTCTTTGATATTACATGAAATTTTCATGTGCTTCTCATAACCAAACACATTTTATTCACAGCAGAGTGTATTTCTGATGATATTCCTACATATTTATGATTCATATTGTCAAATTTTCATTCAGATTCAAATATAGTCTGGCTACTGTTACATTATTAAAATATAATTTCACTGTATACTGAAAAACATGAAATAAATAACTATTATATTGACAAAACAAGATTGACCATCAAAATTAAAGGTGCTGCTATAAACCATGATTAAACAACAGACTATGCGATTATGTACAATTATTATTTGTCACTTGTGTTGATCAACCTGTTTACATCCTAGAAATATATTTATTTGCAGGTTGTTGTATGTCAGAATGTTATAAAGAACAGAGCAGCATGCTGTAATGTTCTATCACATGAGATGTTGCATGCCTTTGACCATTGTCGCGCAAAATTGGACATCAGTAATATTGAACATATGGCTTGCACAGAGGTATGTACCAATGCATCTTATTTTAATTTGAGCGTCGCCACGACAAAACCAACATAATGGGTTTGCGACCATTATGGATCCAGACCAACCTGCGCATCTGCGCAGTCTGATCAGGATCCATGCTGTTCGCTCTCAGTTTCTCTACTTAAAGCAAACAGCATGGATCCTGATCAGACTGCACGGATGCGTAGGCTGGTCTGGATCCATCCTGGTCGCAAACACACTATGTTGGTTTTGTCATGACCCGGCTCATTTTAATTTATAAATCATTGAGTATAATCAATGACATTTAAACTATTGTAAAATCTGGTAAATAAGTGCATATTAAATATAGCACATGAAAAAGGTGCAAACCATCACCTTAGTGCAATAACAGGTTAACTGCTATTAAATTTTATAAGGAAATAACCTGTAACTGCTTTAAGGTAACAATACTGCCTTTCTTTAATTTCTGCAAACCCCTTTAGATAAACTGAGATTCTGAGGCTGTAGAAAGTTTAAAGTCAGCATATCAAAGTTACATTAGTTGTTGCATAGTAAATAAAGCTCTAAAAATAAAGTAAAAGCCTCAAAAATGATGTAAAGATGGTCAAACATTGTGTATTATGTAAGTTTGGTTATCAGTCTGTTTGGCATGTAGCGCCACTTTTTGGTCTTCTAAAAAATCATATAAAGCATGCTTCTAGGGACAAAATTAGCCCCATCTTAACTGACAGGGTTAAGTGACAACAAACTTATATTTAAAAATTTCATTGTAAAGTTACATAATACATATATGTCAACTACTGTTAAGTTAATGAGTTTTCTCCCTTTTCTTTATTTAGGGAATAGGTTTAATATCTTATTTTAGTACTTTTTAACTTCTACAAGCAGAGCATAAACATAATGAATTTAATGATCAGTTTTCAAAAGGTCATTTCACTTGATAAGCATTTTCATAATTTATGACCAGTTAAAGAGTTCCTGGCTGGACATTTTGTTTAGTGTTTCACAACATTTTGATACATTTTCTTGTTTTTGAAGGTTCGAGCAGCTAATATGTTCCATTGCACATTAGTTAGTGCATTTGCAAATGGGGAGGCGAAACCATGGAACTATCTTAACAGACATGTGGTAAGTCTCAGCTATTTAAATTTAATTGAAATTACAAGTAACCTTAGGCTGTCTCTGTTGGTTAATGATAATGTTAATGATAATTTCAAAAGCATAGATTTTATTCTGAGAAGTACAAAGGATGTCATTTGGGTTCTATTATAAATAACAAAACAGATGAAATAATTATACATGTATTTGCAGCAAATTTGATCTTAATTAATTTGTTACCTTCAAACAGTTTTTTTAGCTCGCCTTGCACAAAGTGCAGGTGAGCTTTTAGGATGGCCAACCAAATGGCGTCCGTTGTCAGTCGTCCGTCCACATTTTAAATATTCTAAGGACATCTTCTATGATACCGCAAGGCCAATGTTAATGAAACTTGGCAGGAATACTCTTTGTATGAAGCTCTATCAAGATTGTTCAAAGAATTCCATTTCATGCAGAACTCTGGTTGCCATGGCAACCGAAAGAAAAATCTTTAAATATCTTCTTTTAAAGAACCCAAAGAGCTAGAGCTTAGATATTTGGCATGAAACATCTTCTAATGAGTGTCTACCAAGTTTGTTCAAATAAAAGCCCTGGGGTCAAAATTGGCCCCGGCCCGGGGGGTCATTGATTTTCCCTATATGCATATAGTAAAAACTTAAAAAATCTTCTTTTAAAGAACTGTAAAAGCTAGAGCTTAGATATTTGGCATGAAACATCTTCTAGTGAATGTCTACCAAGTTTGTTCAAATAAAAGCCCTGGGGTCAAAATTGGCCCCGCCCCAGGGGGTCATTGATTTTCCCTATATGCATATAGTAAAAACTTAAAAAATCTTCTTTTAAAGAACCCAAAGAGCTAGAGCTAAGATATTTAGCATGAAACATCTTCTAATGAGTGTCTACAAAGTTTGTTCAAATAAAAGCCCTGAGGTCAAAATTTGCCCTGCCCCAGGGGGTCATAGATTTTCCCTATATGCATATAGTAAAAACTTAAAAAATCTTCTTTTATAGAACCCAAAGAGCCAGAGCTAAGATATTTGACATGAAATATCTTCTAGTGAGTGTCTACCAAGTTTGTTCAAATAAAAGCCCTGGGGTCAAAATTGGCCCCGCCCCGGGGGGTCATTGATTTTCCCTATATGCATATAGTAAAAACTTAAAAAATCTTCTTTTAAAGAACCGTAAGAGCTAGAGCTTAGATATTTGGCATAAAACATCTTCTAGTGAATGTCTACCAAGTTTGTGCAAATAAAAGCCCTGGGGTCAAAATTGGCCCCGTCCCAGGGGGTCATAGATTTTCCCTATATGCATATAGTAAAAACTTAAAAAATCTTCTTTTAAAGAACCCAAAGAGCTAGAGCTAAGATATTTAGCATGAAACATCTTCTTATGAGTGTCTACCAAGTTTGTTCAAATAAAAGCCCTGGGGTCAAAATTGGCCCCGCCCCAGGGGGTCATTGATTCTCCTATATGCATATAGTAAAAACTTAAAAAATCTTCTTTTAAAGAACTCAAAGAGCTAGAGCTAAGATATTTAGCATGAAAACATGTTCTAATGGGTGTCTACCAAGTATGTTCAAATAAAAGCCCTGGGGTCAAAACTGGCCCTGCCCCCGGGGTCATTGATTTTCCTTATATGTGTATAGCAAAAACTTAAAAATCTTCTTTGAAAAAACCCAAATAGCTTGAGTTTAGATATTATACATGAAACATCTTTAAGTAAATATCTACAAAGTTTGTTCAAATAAAAGCCCGGGGGTCAAAACTGGCCCTGCCCCAGGGGTGTCATTGTTTTTAACTATGTGTATAGTAAAAACTTAAAAATCTTCTTTTAAAAATACCCAATGAGCTAGAACTTAGATGTTTAGCATGAAACATCTTCTTATGGGTGTCTACCAAGTCTGTTCAAACAAGTCTGTTCAAATAAAAGCCCTTGGGTAAAAATTGGCCCGGGGGGGGGGGGGGGCTATATACAGGTGAGCGACCTCAGGGCCATCATGGCCCTCTTGTTTTTTATCTTTTCTGTATTATATTACTATATTTACTTTGCATTAAGATAAATTTGTCATTTTCCTTTTGAATTTTGTTTAAAGATTTTATGTTTATGATACAAATTATTGTTTAGAACTTTAGAGGATGTAACTGAGTAAAAATACAGGAAATATATATCATAGAAAATAAACATTATTGTATAACAAAGCCAGGGCATGCTCCTAACTTACCTGTTTTAGCTCACCTGGACAGAACATGCTCATAAGTCAGCTATTGTGATGGCAGTGTGTCTGCTATTTGCAGTTATCTACAATTTATTTAAATAACATCTCCTAAACCACTTGGTGGATTTTGACCAAACTTGATAGGAATGATAATTCGGTGGCCCACTTCAATGTATAAATTGTTCCAGACTGATGCATAAGAAGGTCAAAGGAGCTAAACAAAGACTTCAAACATGAAAAATTTAAAGGTCGTCCCAGAGCTTAATTATTTGTCATGTACTATCACCTTGTAGTGCTTTACAAAACTTATAAAAATCACTTCTAAAGGGTCAAAATTATTCCAATATTTTTAAACAGATTAGCATATTAGACATGTAGCATTGCCTAGAGGACCTTTAGTTATATTATATAAATCTCAAAGATTGTCTAACTAGAGAATCTGGTTTGCTTAATCAAAATGTTAGGCAAATTTTCCGAAAACCTAAATGGTACCAATAGTGTATCAAACACTATTAAAATTTATTTTAAATATGAGCCGCATCGCAACAAAACCAACATAGTGCGTTTGAGACCAGCATGGATCCCAGTGGCGTCGCTGCCTATACACCAAATACGCACGTGCGTACAATTCATTTTGTGAGGTGAAAAAAAAACGAAAAAAAATTCAATGCAAAAAATGTCTTAAAAACTAGTGCTACGCAATGTATAAAAAGACCAGATTTATTGTATTTGATTATTACAGGGCCTTTCAAACAGAAAGACCCTGATTATATTGTAGTAGATTCTATTTTTACAAAGTTATAAAAAAAATTCATTTGTTTTTAGCTCACCTGTCACAAAGTGACAGGGTGAGCTTTTGTGATCGCTTTTCGTCCGGCGTCCGACTGTCGTCCGTCCGTCCGTCAGTCCGTCCGTCGTCCGTCCGTAAACTTTTGCTTTAAATGACATCTCCTCATAAACCACTGAGCCAATTTCATCCAAACTCCACAGGAATGTTCCTTTGGTGGTCACCTTTAAAAATTGTTCAAAGAATTTAATTCCATGCAGAACTCTGGTTGCCATAGCAACCGAAAGAAAAATCTTTAAATATCTTCTTTTAAACAACCCTAAGAGCTAGAGCTTAGATATTTGGCATGAAACATCTTCTAATGAGTGTCTACCAAGTTTGTTCAAATAAAAGCCCTGGGGTCAAAATTGGCCCCGCCCCAGGGGGTCATTGATTTTCCCTATATGCATATAGTAAAAACTTAAAAAATCTTCTTTTAAAGAACCGTAAGAGCTAGAGCTAAGATATTTGGCATGAAACATCTTCTAGTGAGTGTCTAGCAAGTTTGTTCAAATAAAAGCCCTGAGGTCAAAATTGGCCCCGCCCCGGGGGGTCATTGATTTACCCTATATGCATATAGTAAAAACTTAAAAAATCTTCTTTTAAAGAACCATAAGAGCTAGAGTTTAGATATTTAGCATGAAACATCTTCTAGTGAGTGTCTACCAAGTTTGTTCAAATAAAAGCCCTGGGGTCAAAATTGGCCCGCCCCGGGGGGTCATTGATTTTCCCTATATGCATATAGTAAAAACTTAAAAAATCTTCTTTTAAAGAACTGTAAGAGCTAGAGCTTAGATATTTGGCATGAAACATCTTCTAGTGAATGTCTACCAAGTTTGTTCAAATAAAAGCCCTGGGGTCAAAATTGGCCCCGCCCCAGGGGGTCATTGATTTTCCCTATATGCATAAAGTAAAAACTTAAAAAATCTTCTTTTAAAGAACCCAAAGAGCTAGAGCTAAGATATTTGGCATGAAACATCTTCTAGTGAATGTCTACCAAGTTTGTTCAAATAAAAGCCCTGGGGTCAAAATTGGCCCCGCCCCAGGGGGTCATTGATTTTCCCTATATGCATAAAGTAAAAACTTAAAAAATCTTCTTTTAAAGAACCCAAAGAGCTAGAGCTAAGATATTTGGCATGAAACATCTTCTAGTGAATGTCTACCAAGTTTGTTCAAATAAAAGCCCTGGGGTCAAAATTGGCCCCGCCCCAGGGGGTCATTGATTTTCCCTATATGCATATAGTAAAAACTTAAAAAATCTTCTTTTAAAGAACCCAAAGAGCTAGAGCTAAGATATTTAGCATGAGACATGTTCTAATGGGTGTCTACCAAGTATGTTCAAATAAAAGCCCTGGGGTCAAAACTGGCCCCGCCCCGGGGGTCATTGATTTTCCTTATATGTGTATAGCAAAAACTTAAAAATCTTCTTTGAAAAAACCCAAATAGCTAAGGTTTAGATATTAAGCATGAAACATCTTTAAGTAAATATCTACAAAGTTTGTTCAAATAAAAGCCTGGGGGTCAAAACTGGCCCTGCCCGAGGGGTGTCATTGTTTTTAACTATATGTGTATAGTAGAAACTTAAAAAATCTTCTTTTAAAAAACCCAATGAGCTAGAACTTAGATGTTTTGCATGAAACATCTTCTTATGGGTGTCTACCAAGTCTGTTCAAATAGACAAATAAAAGCCCTTGGGTAAAGATTGGCCCCGGGTGGGGGTGGGGGGCTATACAGGTGAGCGACCTCAGGGCCATCATGGCCCTCTTGTTTTATGTAGATATAGGTACATTTCTTTCGTTTTTGAGTGATCAACTTTTGTATTAAACTCACCTCACATGTAGCTTGAATAAGAGCTCTTTCCGTAAAATATTACTAAATAATACATTTGCTTTTAAAAAAGTTTAAAATGCTTTTAATTTCATGAATAAAAGAAAATAATGCAAACATTTTGATAATATCGACATGTCAAATATATCACAAAAAAAACATGTAAGACAATATGTCGAAATGAAATTTCTTAAATGTGTGGTATTATAAATGTGATATCTATAAGTGACTTAAGTTTTTTATGCTGAATAGGGCACCTTCTTAATATCAGAACAAATTTGATTTGACTGAATTTAAATGTGATTAAAATAACAAAGTTTGTGTGCAAGTTCCGACAGTTATGGGTATGAGAAGTACAAGTTCGATATGTCTCTGAAAATCAGTCTGTTGCAATTTGTTTCGACAATGAATTTTGAAAGGATTATATTTTTCTTGCATCACCATTGAAGCGAAATGACTCATTTTTAACAATTTAAAAAAACAAAACCAAAAAAAAAACCACCGAAAATAGTAAAAATGGTAATACCCAAAAATTACGCTGCTAGAACATTTACCAAATATTAACTTGTTTGATTTCCTTACGTATATATATTCCAATTTTATCTTGGATGGAACATGATCCTTACCTCCCCTTTCGCTGAATACAAAACGTATTTCACAGAGCTTGATTAAATAAATAAAGTATTAATAGTGATTGACACGCTGCTGGTGTTATAAGCAATGCGAAAGAGCAAATCTGATGGAGCCAACACAACCATTCAATAGTGTCAAAATTGTAGAATTGTTTAAAATGTTTTTTTCAAAAAGAGTGTCTTTAATCTAGATTATTTGATTTGCTTTTTTGGTCATTGGGTACGTATTCTTCCTATTTTTTCATTTTGATTTAAAAATTAAACTGTTAAATCGCGTACCATTGCTTGGGCGAAATTTATAGTGAAAGAAAAGTCCAAAACAATGAGAAAGATGTTCTACTTGGCCTAACGTTCTCTGATCTTTGAAAAACAAGCTTTTAAATCAGATAGTTAAAAAAAAACGATTATAACCTTTTTCAGCTTGCTCTACAAGGGAAGTATCGAGGACTCTCATTTAAATAGGAAAGAGCCAGCGTTAAGTATCTCCCTGGGTGTAATTTAAGTATTTAATAAATTACGTTTTTTTAGGATTTAAACAACAATAATGTGATATTAAATGCACGTGAAATTGTATAATCAAATCATCCTTAAATGACTTTACTCGTGGAGCTTTCGGGGGGCTTCGCCCCCTGAACCCCCACCAAGGCACCTACGCGGCCCCCTTGACCTCCCACGTATACTCTTGTGCGTATATTGAAAATTGCCCTAGCTACGCCCCTGGATCCAGACCAGCCTGCGCATCTGCGCAGTCTGATTAGGATCCATGCTGTTGGCTATCAGTTTCTCTACTTGTAATAGAGTTGTAAAGCGCAGGCTGGTCTGGATCCATGCTGGTCGCAAACGCACTATGTTGGTTTTGCCGTGACGCGGCTCATATGTTTTGGTACTAAACTGTTTAATACATGTACTGGTATTTTAACTGAGACAGTTTCTGAAACCTGCCCACACATATTTCTGTATGTAACTTATGTAGAATAATCTAGAAACATATGTAACACAAAAATATTACAAAACAATCTTAACTTGATATAGTTTGTTTCTTTTTACCAGTTTTTACTATCTGCATCACTCAAACAGGCAACCAATTTTTTTTTTGTTTATATGACTATTGATTTTGGTTTAAACATTATTACATATTTATTTAAGCTTGATTGCTAAACAAGGTCTTGCAACTTATATTAATCACTTTCAAGAATTTCAAAATTGTAAAATCAGTTTTCTTAAGCCTGTTCTTGCAAAAGCACTTGGGTAAGCGATATTAAATTGTCAAAACTAAAGTATTGGAATAAATCAACTATTGTTGTATTTTCAGAACTGTGTGAAGCGTAAAGCTATGACATCAATTATGGTAGTTAGAAATGTAACTGAACAAGAGGCAAGTGACGCTGTAGACAAAGTGTTTAATAGATGTTATAATGACCTTGAACCATTCGGTAGAAGGATAAGAAAAGGAACAGATGACGATGAAAAAAGTTTAAAGGAAGGAATTCTTTATGGATATATGGATAAAGAGCAATAGCTTTTATATTTTAACCTTTGATCTCATAAAGCAGAATGATACACCTACCAAATAAATATGTTATAAACACAATATTTATGTTTTAATTGTTATTGACTATGATTTTAATAGTTGTGATGTTAGAATTATGGAAGTTATGGTTAAGTAATTGCTCATCATTTTAATAATGGACCTGGGAAAGAAAGATGCACTTTAGATAATTAGTCCCAGAATGGACATATAATGGTTTTCTGTGTTCATGAGGTATGAAGAATTTGGATTAAACAATTATTTTAACATTATGCTCATTTTTAGCTTGTCTGTTTTGAAGAAAAGGTCAAGCTATTATGATCACTGCTGCGTTATAGTTGTGCAAAATCTTTACTGTAGCCAATTATACAAAAATTAAAAAGGTAACATCATGAAACGTGGAATACTTGTTGATCATGACAAAGTGCAGTTGTTAGACATGCATTGATGTCGGTGTCATTTTTATGCCCCTGCCATAAAATGGCTGGGGCATATAGTGTTACCCTATTCAGTCCTTCCGTCATTCCGTCATCATCAGTTTCTGTTCATTATCTTAGTAACGGCTGCACACATCCAACGCAAATTTGAAATTTGGATATATCATGAGAAGATACAGGTCAAGTTCGAATTTGGTCATGGTCAGATGATTTTTGACAGAGTTATGCCCCATGATGAAATTTTCAGTTACTGTTCATTATCTCCCCAACAGTTGTATACATTCAACTCAAATTTGACATTATGGATACGTCAAAGGATTGCACAGGTCAAGATTATTCAATGATTTTTGGCAGAGTTATGCCCCTTTCACTTTGAAAATAATATGAAATTTTCAGTTTCAGTTTATTTTCTCCCCAACAGTATTGCACTTTCAACTCAAATTTGACATATGGATACGTCAAAGGAATGTGCTTGTCAAGTTTGAATTTAATCATGGTGTGATGATTTTTTGCAGAGTTATGCCCCTTTCACTTTGAAAATAATATGAAAAATCAGTTTCCATTCATTATCTCCCCAACGGTATTACACATTCAACTCAAATTTGATGTATGAATACATCAAAGGAATGCACAGGTCATGTTTGAATTTGGTCATGGTTTGATGATTTTTGGCAGAGTAATGCCCCTTTAACTTTAAAAAAAAGGAAATTTTCAGTTTCCGTTCATAATCTCCCCAACAGTTGTACATAATCAAGTCAAATTTAACATATGGATATGTCATAAGAATTCACTGGTCTACTTCCAATTTGGTCATGGTTTGATGATAGCTCAGAGAGTTATCCCTCTTGAACTTTGAAAAAAAATCAGAAATTTTTAGTTACCATTCATTATCTCCCCAATGGTTGTACACATTCAACTCAAATTTGACATATAGATACATCTTAGGAATAAGTAGTTCAAGTTTGAATTTGGTCATGGTTCAATGATTTTGGACAAAGTTATCTCTCTTGAATGTTGGAAAAAAATTGAATTTTCAGTTTCAGCACTCATACTTTTGTGGAAGTGTATGTAATCATTATTTTGGCTACAAATATGCAATATGCATTTTACAAAAGGTTAACGCTGAATAGCTTCAGTGCCTTGAACTTTGTATAAAAATGGTTTGTGTCAACATTGAATAGTTTTAAGGGCTTTGAACTTAAAATGAAAAAAAAAGTTTGTGCAAACAAATTTGGAACTAAATATTATAACATCTGAAATTTTGGCTGCATGCGGGGGCATCCGTGGCGTGATGACACATTTCTAGTTTGTTTTAGTTTTTGCATGCAAGTTGGTATCTCCACAAATAATGAAGTTAATAAGTTGAATCTTCACATTCTTATTTGAGAGCATAAGAGATGGTCACTATCCAAGGCCTACATTTCTTACATTGATGTTAACAGAATTATGGCTCTTTTTTAACATGGAATATTATTCATTATCCAAACATTTGTTTTACTATCAAACTCTGGGATTAGTTGAGCAAGCTGACCTTTTAACAGCTCTTGTTGAATTTTCAAGTTTAGCTGAATAAGCTATACATTTAAAAAGATTGACTATTTTACTGGTCATTGACCAATAATTGATAATGTAAAAAGTTAGGGATAAAATATAACAACTAACTAAAATGCATGTATAAAAAGAATGCCCCACTTTTTATCAATTGAATATTAATAATACATTCCGAAGAATATTAATAGGATTTTTTGTGAGTCACATGGGTTATTGATTGTACAAATGAACTAGACTATATAATTGAAAACAGTGGTGGCATAATCAAAAGTTATTTTGACTTTACACCCTCCATCTACACAGACGGGCATAATGTCACTTTAAAACTAGATTATATATTAGAATGACATACTTTAAATGGACTGAAGTTTCATTTTTTTGGAAATATTTGTTTAAGTATGATGATATTAATTTTTACTTGTAATTTAATAAAAAAGTAATAATGAAAACTTATTGTTATTTCTAATTGTTTTTATACACCCAAATAATATGGGCATGTATTATTATGCATCTGGTCGTCTATCTACCTGTATTTTTTGAACCAGTGAAAGAAAATTGAAACTTCTTGGCAGAAATGTTAACCATAATTATATGATGTGTAGAGCGCAGGTTTGACCTTCCTCGGGTCAAGGTCACACTTAGACACTTTGTACAAATTTCGTGTTTGCTTTGTTGAACAAAATGAAATAAATTAGAACTATTTGGCAGAAATTTTACCTATATGTGCAGAATGACGATGTGCAGAACACAGGTTTGGGCTTCCTTAGATCAAAATTAGCGCCACCTTGGGCATATTCAATCAAGATTTATATAGGGAAACACAAAGTACATGTAGTTTCATTGTGCTCAGAGCATTGCCTTATTGACCTTTACAAAACTGATATGAATCATGCCCCTGGGTCCAATATTGGCCCTGCCCCTGGGGTCACTTGATTAATATAGACTTGTACAAGAAAAAACACGAGACTAATTGTGTGAAACTGCAATCCAGAGAACTTAGATATTTGACATGTAACATTACTTTGCAGACTTCATCATCATTGGTATACATCATACCCCTGAGGTTTATATTATCCCGGCAACAGGGGTTACTAAGTTTATAATAGTTTTGTATAATAAAATACATTTAAGTCTTATTTTGGTGAAACTATATTGCCTTGAGCTAAGATTTTTGTCATGTAGCATTGCCTTGTTGGTGTTAACAAAATGGATATAAATCATGCCCCTTTGCCCAACACTGGGGGTCACTTATATAGACTTGTATAGGAAAACAAATATATCGTGTGAAACTACAATGTCTTGAGTTCGGATATGTAGCATGACCTTATTGACCTCTACGAAACTGATATTAATCATGCACCTGGGGGCAATACTGGCATGCCCCAGGGTTACTTGATTTATTTAGACTTAAATAGGAAAACCCATTTAAGTCAAACTGAGCCCATAGCTTAGATATTTGGCATGCTGCAACAATTTGTAGTTCTCTACAAAAGTTATATATTATTAATTATGTAGACAAATGTATAGGAAAACAAAA